CTCTCTCTCTCTCTCTCTCTCTCTCTCTCTCTCTCTCTCTCTCTCTCTCTCTCTCTCTCTCTCTCTCTCGCTCGCTCTCTCGCTCGCTCGCTCGCTCGCTCTCTCTCTTTCTCTGTCTCTCTCCCTCTCTCGCTCTCTCTCTCTGTCTCTCTTTCTCTTGCCATCTCCACCTACCTGAAAAGTCCTGCCATGCTGGGTTTGCGTAGACCGTTAGAATGCCCACACATGTACGCGATGTGTAGTCGGGATTTGTGCAGTGGCTATTACATTGGGTTCAGTCGCCGCGAACGAGCAGTGTCGTGTGGTGTGTGCCGTCGTGTTCAACTACCATCTTCGTCCCCATCGTTAGTTTGTCTTCAGCGACTCTATTTGGTTCGTCTTATGCGTTAGTCAATTTCTTTCGCGAACTTACATCGGGGTGCGTTTGCGAATCTCGTTCCATTGGCGACCACTCGCCCCGATCAGATGGCACAGTCAAACGTCCACGTGTCAGTTCCTGAACAAGCGTGTGCACGCTGATGGATGCGAGGCTCTATGCGACAACAAAATAGATGCCACGCTCCAATATAGCCCCGCACCCATCAGCGTGGCCACGCATGTTCAGGACATGACATGCAGACGTGTGAGTGTGCCATCTGATCGGGGCGAGATGAAGGAGTTTCTGGAGCAAGAATGCATGCGTTTCATTGGCGATCACTCGCACCGATCAGATGGCACACTCAGACGTCCACGTGTCACGTCCTGAACAAGCGTGGCCACGCTGATGGATGCGGGGCTCTATGCGACAAAGGGGCTCTATGCGGCAGCAGAATGGATGCGAGGCTCCAATATAGCCCCGCGTCCATCAGCGTGGCCACGCATGTTCAGGACATGACATGCGGACGTGTGAGTGTGCCATCTGATCGGGGAGAGATGAAGGAGTTTCGGGCGAGATGAGTGTCCTCCACATTTTTTCAAATTTTTCGTCAGTCTTCCTCTCGCCAACACGAACAATTTTTTCTTAAATATCTTTCGTGTCGTTTTATTAACGGGTCACATTGCGAATTCCGAAATGGACAACACCATCCGCAGGATCTGCACATGGAGAGACAGAGAGCTAAAGACAGGCTCTCTCGTTGCGCATCCTCTCCTTGTCGACGTCTCTATCGATCTTAGTCTCCCTTCCGTGTCTATGCGGGTTTTCTGCCTTTCTCCAATCCTTGTGTATCGCAGACAGTCGCTCAACCGATCTCAGGTTGGTCCCCCCCTGAGTGCAATCACAGATCMRTAATTCGAAGACGRMTACGACAGATTCGAAGACACAGGAGGCGAACGTGAATTCAAATCTTTAAACCCTATCAAACCTCGCGTCAGCCGAACACCGCGAGGAACCCTTCCGCTGACTTGGACACAGGAGAGGACACGGAGTGATCATATGCTCATAGGGTATTGTCGACGGCGACATGTTTAACCAACCTGGAGGACGACAACCCACCCTGTCCATACCATCTTGTGGTGGCGCAACAGCTCTGCCACCCTTGTTAATTTCAGTTGCATCCAAGTCACAACCCACTAAAACTCACGGGGCGACCACTAACCGAGGCAACCCGGCGAAGTTCGGATTAATCCGAACCATACTACAGGCATATTCGGATTTGTCACATGCACAGACGGTATTTACGACGCCGAACGTCCCGATAAACGTGAACAACGAAGTCACACGCTGTCAAAAGACCGTTCCGTCTCGGATAAATCCGAATCACACCTGCTCACAGGTCATTGAGGAAAACACGCCGTGCCGATGTCCTCTTCTAGTGGTCGGCCTAATTCGGATGCATCCGAGTCACAACGTCAGGCTTTCGACTCTGCCCAGTTCGGATGTGTCCGAACTACCACGCTGTCTTCGTCTTCGACCATTCGCTCTAAGAAGGGCAGTCTGATGACGAGGGTCAACAATGCCTCGGATTCATGCAACTAAAATGAGTCGAGATGGTTATGCTCGGTGGAAGAAAGACGAGCTAGAAACTTGTGCTGCGACTACAACAAACGTGTCTGTTGTTTGGATTGGGCGAGCAACAACCAACTAAAACTCACGACGACGACGATATCCCCCGTGATGATGCACATATTATAATGACACACTACGATAATCACGGGGAGGTCCGGTGTGTGGTGGGGCGACAACAAAGCGAAGCGCCTCGGCGAAGTCGGATTAATTCGAACCATATGCGCAGAGGGTATTGACGATGTCGCACGGTCTGATAAACTTGTACGTCGAAAGCACACGGTGTCGGCGCAGCCTGTCGTGGTCGCACGTATCGGGACAGCCTCTGTCGAAATCGGATAAATCCGAGCCACACTCGTCTTAAACACTCAAGGACGAAGACACACCGTGCGAAATTCGGTTGGACCCATCGAGAGTTGGGGAATAACGGAAGCTTGGATGGCTGGATGGGCGTCAACAGACTGTGGGGTCCATCCGCCGGTCCCCGTATGGGATTAATCGGAACCACATTTGCGAGGTTCAAGTTCAACCGAACCGAACCTCCGGCAGGATAGGGTTAACCCAGTGCTCGCTGGTCGGTGATGAAAACACGTGCTCTAGATGACCTCTTGTGGACGACCGTCTCTGGACCGCGCTGTTCGAATTTGGATGCATCCGAGTCACAACCGTTACTGACTCAGAAGGACAAGAAAACTCGAGTTCGGTTTCGTACGGGCCGACAGGGGGAGGTCCACACCGCTTTGGAGCTCGGATTCATCCGAACTACAACGGCGGACTTTACAATCCACTTGTCGACTTCGGATGACAACGTATTCGTCTTCGTCTGTCGTATCAGCGTTCTAGGGCCTTCTTGCGAGGTGTTGCTTTTCCCGGTGCAGGTGCCTATGCGACATTGGTTTTTGGACTGCGCCTGCTTCGGATGAATCCGATCTATCCCACGGTCTTGGTTTTCGACCATTCATTCTCTTAAGGGCAATGTGACGAGGACGGCTCACGATGCCTCGGATTCATCCGAAACCGCGCTGTTCGAATTCGGATGCCTCCGAGTCACAACCGTTACCGACTCGGAAGGACAAGAAAACTCGAGTTCGGTTTCGTACGGGCCGACAGGGGGAGGTCCACACCGCTTTGTAGCTCAGATTCATCCGAACTACAACGGCCAACTTTACAATCCACTTGTCGACTTCGGATGACAACGTATTCGTCTTGGTCTGCCGTATCAGCGTTCTAGGGCCTTCTTGCGAGGTGTTGCTTTTCCCGGTGCAGGTGCCTATGCGACATCGGTTTTTCGACTGCGCCTGCTTCGGATAGTCTTTGTTTTCGACCATTCATTCTCTTAAGGGCAGTGTGATGAGGATGGCTCACGATGCCTCAGATTCATCCGAAACGTCCAGGCTTGTGGACCACTGTCGTCTAACTATGACTGAACTTCGTTCTTTTGGAGTCTGGGTGACCAATGACAGAATACGTGCTGTGGGTCGTGGTTGATGTTGGGACGTGCTGCCTGTTCTGAGTGCATGTGGGTTCATTCCTCCGTGTGTTTCTCGGAATGGCTACATACGGACGAAGCTGCTCCGCTGGTGGTTCCGCCCCGCACGGAGAGGAGCGTCGAGGGACGACGTCGTCGCCGGCAAGGGAAACGAGTCGGGGAGTTGGAGGTGGGGAGGAAGAACGACGTGCTCTAAACTTGTGGTGCGACTACAGCAAACGTGTCTGGTATTTGGACTGGGCGAGCCAGAACGGTTCCCACCCGTTGCAACCACCGTGCGGGCCGCTCTTGTTCGCCGCCGTTCGCGCCGACAGAACACGTCTCGCAGGGTCCATCGTACAGTGGGTCGACGATGGCGAATTCAATTTCAAGTTTACGTTGAACAAGCATTACAGAAGTGATGGTTCTGTCGACGGCATCGCAAAGGGATGCAAGGTTGCCGGGAGGATGTTCTGCGGGTACGGTCGTCGTGCAATGTCTTTGCCTCACTTTCTCCCGCTAGTGCCGGGGCACGACGAGGCCGTTCACGTCACAGACTTCCTGGAGGTCTGGGCGAAATCTGGTACCTCTGTCAGTGCTATGGACGTCGGACCTGGAACATCGATCAGTGGTCCTGCTGGGTTCACAAGAGGAGAGTGCTCTGAAAGGGAGATAGGAGGTCAAGGTGGCCTGCCAGCTACGCCTCCTGATCAAGAGGTAGGCATGCCAGACGACTCGGAGGACGACCATCCGCGTGCTCCTTTGAAACCGGGCTTGCATGTATCTCGCCGCCACGGTTTGCTTGGGGAGTCGACGCCACATGGAGGCGGCGATGGCGAACGGTTGCGACAGGGCTCAGAATCGACGACTCCTCGTGGTCTGGTCGAAAGGATCGGTTCGTTCGTTCGTGGCACGCAGGTGGTCGAGGTTTCGCCTGGAGATCAAGCGGGTGGTCCGCAGGTTCGAGAGGTGCGTGGGTCAGATGAGACGACTCGCCGGGCCCAACCAGCGCTTATTTCTGACTCAATTATTAGGGCAATATAATACCTTTTGATTATGCTATGGTGCTGTCAAATGTAAATAAACTTTTGTTTCATTTGTTGATCGAAGACTACTTGCATGGTTTGTTTGCAATATGGTGCGCAATGTGTAATGATATAATTTATACATAATTCTCAAATCATTTGTGTGCTTAAACGAAATTTAGTATTACATAATTCATGTTGTTTTAAGAACTCTGACAACAAAGTACGAGTTATCCTCGTACTTTGCCACATATGTAGGTTTGAATCTGTACGGCCCGTTAAGACTCTCTTCGACCTGCTCATGGCTTGATCACCCCGTTTCGGGTCAAATTAATACAACTATCTACAATTTCATTATGCCTACACCTAAGGGTTTAAACTTATTGTATCGTGAGAGATCGGCTGAAAAAACTCAGTCGGTAGGCAAGCACAACTTGCCGGATGAGGACGAGCGAGAGGGACTAGGTGCTCTGAAAAGCCAGAGAAAGGTAGGAGGGAGTGCTCGGACGCCAACAACATGAGAGGGCGGTTCCGTTGAGAAGAGGAAAAGGGTTGGAGGTGGGGATGAAATGCCAAAACACTCGTCGACACAGCGAAGAACCGGTGAGTTTTCCGGGAAAAGGGCGAAATCATCGAGGGGGAAGAAAGCAGACAAGGGCGACAACGGGGAGGGGGATAATGACGTGGAGATTAACCTCAACACCTTTAACCTCGACAATGCGTTCTTCCTCGAGATGCAGACAGGGGTGCAGAAGGACGTCGTGTTGCACATCCATCCCAAAAGAATTTTAGCTATTCCAGACAGGGAAGACGCGTACAACCACCGATCCTTGGATGAGTTCCTCGTTGATACCATCGCCTCAGCTATGATCGACTGCTATGAACGTAAAGACATGAGATACACAAAGCCCATTTTCGTTCTCGCTCCGATCGTCGCGCCTCTAGAGAACGGCGAGCCTGTTGTGCGGGTGCTGCCTGCTGACTTCGACAGCTCACACCGAGAGAAATACTGGTATTATCCTGTGTGTGGACAGCATAACGCGAGGGCGGCAATGATGGTGAAAGACCATCCCGTGTTTGATTACTACAACTTCTGTAAATGGCTTTTCAGACCGATCTACTTCCCTGACGACGAGTTCGACGGCTACGCCCATGTCAGCTACGAAGACAACATGAAAGACAAGAAGAATCCACCGCGCTTGCAGGTTTTGTCTATGCGGGACATTCGCAATATCAGGAAAATAAAGGGCAAACCGCGTGTGGTGCTCGACAATGCCTCGAAGAAACAGGACGAGGTGCGAAAGTGGGTGCGGTTCATGGCATTGGCAATGAAGAAGACGCCGTACACGCCTATCTGGAATCTGTCAATGGACGCAAAGAAAAGAAAGGAATGGGCTGAGAAACTTCGATACTACCTCCCGCGGGCCATGGCAGATGACTCCGTCTTCGCTTTGGGATTGAAGTTCTATGAGGAGTGGTCGAAAGGGAAACTCCTTGCTTCCGACGGCCGGCGTTGGACTGAAAAGTCGCCCACCCATTAGGAGGTGGCCAAGCCAGGCCTCTCCACTGTGACTGACAGCCAGGGGCTGAAGAAACACGTCTGGTACGTGAAGGTGGACGACCCGTCGTTGAAAAAGGGGAAGGGGAAGCCAAAGAAAGGCGCGGAGGAGAAAACTTTCTACGTCCAAGTTCCGGAGCCGGATGTCCACTGCTGGAAGGAATTGGGGGACTTGACGGACCGCGAGAAGAAAAGGCTGTTGAACGGCGTGTTGAACCTTAACGTCGTGTGGGTTCAAACGAGTAGGAAAAATTTGGCCGAGCAGGGGAAATTCAGTGTCAAGGAGATGGTTGACATAATAAAAATAGACCGGATTATGCTGAGGTTGTGGCACTACGTAGAGTTCGAGTACGAGGAAATGGATAAGCGGGAGTGGAATGCCAACTCCACGTTCTTCAGGTCCAAGAAGCAACTGTTCGAAGAGTTCAAGGACAGAGGTCTCGACGACAAGCTTTGGAACGAGAGCAGGAAATTTTTCACGGACACCACATACGTCAACAAGTGCCCTCAGTTTCTCGGGTGTCATCACGACAACAACATCAAGAGAACGGCGGCCCTCGTCAACGACCAGCATTTCCCGACGGAGTGGAAGCGTGTCGTCCTTTCGGTGATTACTGGAGATCGCGCCAAAGGCAAAAAAAACCCTCGGGGCGTTGATGAATGCATCAACATTATGTGGACAAGGACAAGCGCCTTGACGACGCTGGCCCAGTTTAACGTCAACCCATTGACTGCCATAGATCATAAGGCTGCGCTGGGAAAACTAGGGCATCAGCTACGCTCCCACACTTGCGTGCTCGACTTGTGCGGAACTGTTGACCGTGCGCAATGGGACTCTGGGGCATTCGCGTCTTTGAGTGAGTTGCAGGGATTCGTTTGTCATGACTACTGGACATTGGTCGTATTCGTCCCCTGCCTGTGGAACCTCTCCTTCATGACATGTTTGTCTGCGCTTGGGGCTACCCGATGCTACACGGGGAAGTGGGTTTGGAAGACGGCATCGAAGAAGACGCATCAGTTCGGAAACAGCGTATGGGAGGAGCCGGATGTGATGCACATCCTTTTCAAAGGCGAGGATCCTCGGCTACTGACTCACCCGGTGTACGAGGGAGTTGTTGCTGAAGACGACGMYRYCGCTCTCCGGARGAAACAGAAAGTGACACCCACGGATGTGGAGGAGAAGTCTTTCAAGTCTTTGACTTTCGCGGACATCGGAAACCTGACCCAGAGGGGGGCTCTGTACAAAGACGGCGAGCGGAATCCGAATCAGTTGTGCAATCAGCTTCTTTTCTTCTGTGGTGTGGCGGATGCATTGCTGTTCTCGGGCAAGCTGCACGCGCAGGTGGTGTGGAGTCTGCTTCAGCAGGGAAGGCACGTCTTGGCCGTGGATGGGGACACAACGCAGCTCGAATACACCGTGCAGTATGTCACCCATGAAGTGTCGTCCAAGGCTTACCCATGTGATTTCCACCATGTCGTGGTCGAGCCCGTTTATGACCCGAACAAGGACATGTTCTATAAGTTGACTCCGAAGAAAAGGCGCCAGGTCTACTCCTTTCTTTACGGCCAACAACCAAGGTTGAGATTTGACCCGCAGTACGTGGTGCGGAAGGAAGTCGCCATTGCGGTCCTCCAGGGCTACCACGGAGCGAGTCGGGCCGGCGCTGTGAGCTTCATTAAGAGGCTGGAATATGTCTTTTTTAACGAGGATGTTGTCGATCCGGCCGACTTCACTTTGGATTAGTACAAGCTGGCATTCGGTGAGGAGGACGACTTCAATATCGAGACTAAGCAGGAGGAGAGCGTTGAGGACGACCTCTTCGATTTGGACGGAGAATTGGCCATCTTCAACGCCCAAATTTCCGAGTCGCCATCTGTATGCAAATTGGGGACACCTCTCGCTACACCTACCTCGGGCGGTCCCACGCCCGTTTCCTCCTCAGCGCCTGTCAAGAGGGGTGGGTTGTCCCGTCTGAGGAGTTCGCCAGGGGAGCCTATTTGTCTCATGCCGCAGCCCGAACGTCTTTGACCCGGCCATCCAGTTCCTCCGGACCATCCGCATCTCAAGGCTCCTGCGACTCCCTTCCACATGGGCGACAAACACACCTTCTCCACAGCCGAAGATTGGGGCCATGATATCGTGTGGCACCCCGACCATTTCCAGCCAGTCCTTCTTGACGGCGAATGGGCAGTGGCTGTGAGCGACGTAAGTGGAGGTGGATATATGACGATCGTTGGGACCTCGAGACATTCAAATCTCGCGCCCACGAGGCGGTATTGGAGAGATTAAGTGAGGTCAATCGACGAAATAAGGACGACCCTGCTCTTCGCGAATACGGGGACACGCTGTTCGAGTTCTTGCAGTCAAATAAATGGTTGGAAGTGTCCTCCGCGTTCTACGCTTTTCCGTCAAGCCCGTCAATTAAGCAAGTGAGTTGGGAGTTGCCTGGGGTCACCCCGCCGGCAGGAGTTGTAAAGCGCAAGTCTCACGGAAAGGACGGCGACGGGGATGGTGAAGGCGGCGGGCAATGAGGTACCGAAGGTGGAAGTGAACAGCGATCGACAAAACAGCGGTCTCCGAGGCACGCAGGCGGCGGAGAGGGGAGAAAGGGCAGCCGAGAGAAGAAGAAGCCTCGCAGCGGAGAGAAGACAAAGCATCATTGAGGAGATGGGCAGGGGTCTGATGTCGACCGCGACGAGGACGGTGGGGTTCTGGCGGTAACAGGCAGCACCTCAATGGAGACAGGGAACGACTTGAGGCCAGGGTGTATTACGCGGCCTGGCTAGCAGGACCCTGTGATTAGCTCCACCAGCGAAACACAGTTTGTCGATGCGGTTGGCGGGGTGGGTGTCGCAAAGCATGGAACATGCTTCGCTCAGCTCCAAAAACGGTTGGCGGATTGTCTCGGATCAATCCGAACCTCGGAGACGACCTCGTTGTCCGGAACTCAATGTCTTCCAGGAAGCGAGACGACAACATACCATGGGTCCGGCAGCGACAAGCTGGAACCGTGTTCCATTTCGCCTCAAAAGGAATTTTGGATTAATCCGAATCGCGAAGGTCGTGCCATCGAGGGAGCACAGTTGTCTACAGAACTTGAACGGGTGGTCCGGGTTTCCGAAAACCCTAGCGACGGAATTCGGATTCATCCGAACCAAGAAGCCGTGTCTGCCATGACAGACGATCGGTGTCAGGATGCAGTAATGCTGTGTGTGGAAGCCCACAAAGAGCTGCAGGCGGACTGTCGGACTGAGGGTAAGTTGGCGACCAGTTCCCATGTCGAGCCCAACAGACTCGGAGCCGAGTTAGCAGTCGTAAGCGACTCCCCGATGAAAGCGGTCATGTCGGCGTCATTGGAAACTGCGGGGGCTCGGATGAATCTGAACCAGGGCCCTGTGAACATCTCCCTCCCTGATGCATCTTTGGAGACGACCGTGATTCGGATTCATCCGAGGCACATAGACGAAGGACTTCAACTGGCAGGCGTTGAGGGTTGTCGACTACTGACGACTTTGGACAAGGACAATTCCGCCGACGAACGGATTGATCCGACACTCAAGGACGTCGGGATGGAGCTATCAGTTCAGCCGGGATACGACGATCCCTTGTACTCCGCCCTTCACAACGAGGCGACGGGGGAGGACGATCTGAAGAAGGCCTCTGATGCTGTTGGAGATAGATTTCTCTATTTGAGTGACGACGACAAAGACACAGCGTACAGGGACAAGAAGTTAAGGGGGGGAGAGGTGTTGTTGGACATCCATGGGACATTGAGCCCAACAYAATAYGACAMAGTGGCAATGGAGAAAACACAACCTGYCGATGTTGTGGACGTCGACGATCTTTGTCCGGAGACGAATATACCGTCTACGGTCATCGACGCCGACATCTCGAGCCTGTCAAGTTTCCCTGTGGGTTTGGAGCACGTCGTCGCCTTGTCGACGCGCGCAGGGGTGCCAATCGTGCTGGGACTGCCGTCGGTGGGCTCTAGTGAAGTGGTAGCTAGGCCTGGTAAGCACTGACTTTCTCTGCTTTCTTCCCGCTCGTCAGCCCGTTCGTTAAATGTGTTGTTTGCTTCGTCGATTTCGGGGAGGTGTATAGGCGGCCGCCAACTGGATTGTGACAATGTGCTTCGTGAGGTGCTGTTTGCTTGGTTGCTCTTGCGAACTTGTGTTGTTGATCTTCTGCTGAATTGTCTGGGTGGCTATTTCTTGTACAGGTTGACGAACTCGTGGATAAACACCCATGTCGCAGGAGCCGCCTGCCCTCGCCAGGTTGTCAGCCCTGGTTGCAAGAGGCACTGGTCGTCGTAATGTCACTGATGCGTTTCCTGGGGACACTAAGCCTCGAGGCCCTCCCAGAAGGGTAATCGTGCCTGTACTGGGCTCCCGCGCAAGACTCGTTGCAGAGGCAGCGGGTGTTGCCGAAAAAGACTGCAAGGAATTCCTTCTCGAGGCTTGCAGGGATATAAAGGACAGTGCTGGTTTAGAATCAACTGTGTGTAGAAGGTCCAGAAGTAGGGGTGGCGTTATGCGTGAACTTTTCGGACCACAGAGTAGCGGTTCCTCGGACCATGGCCGCTAGGCCGGCATTTTCTCATAGTGCCCCGTTCTTTGTGCTTGTTAAATGCTGCGGGTGTTTGTTGAACAGGGTTTCCTCGAGATGGAAGAGCAGTCCTTGAAGACGTTATCTGCTCCCGATTGCCGCTCACTATCATCGTCGCACGTTTGTCGTCGCACAGTTTACAGGTATCCGTCAAGGACATCGTCGCACTCGTGGATAGATCTGGGGAGCTCAACGATGAGGTTGTCAATTTCTACATGGCAATCCACTGGACGACTGCGGCCGGACTGCCGCTACCATAAAGACATACACCTTTAACTCCTTCTTCGCCTCTTCACTGCTTCTGCGAGGTCTGACAGTTGTTCTCAGATGGGCTAAAGATGTCGACCTCCTGTCTCATGACCTCGTCTTGGCACCGGTGCACAAGGACGGCGAACACTGGAGCCTTTTGGCCATTGACTTCTCTAGACGTGTTCTCAAAATCTATGATTCTTTCTCGTGTTCGTCATCCAAAGATTCCTTCTACTCCTCACTTCTGGATAAAACTGTTAAATTTTTTAACACAATGGCAGGTGCCGCCGGTGATGGTCGCAGTTTCGACCACTTCGTTCGCGAGGTCAGCGTGAAAGGTGTCCCTCGGGAGCATGACGGGGCTAGTTGTGGGGTGTTAATGTTGATGTTCGCTTCCTGTTTGGCGAGAGGTTTACATCCACCTTTTGGTTTCTCCCATAGACACATCTCCTCTATCAGAGCTAGACTAGCTTTGGCGATTTGCGATGTTGGTAGGTAAGCGTCTATCTCTTTGTTGATCATGTAGTRTAGAAGGGTTGACGTAGAAGAACATTTCGTTCTTCTCCRGACGAAATTTGTTCCTTTTCATTTTTTCCGTGAGGGACTGGTGGGTGTTCTCGGTTTGGTTCAGAGCAGAACTGGCTGTCACTGCCGGGAAATCTCCGGGTGAACTTGTCATGTCCCCGGCGTGTTTGTAGTCGACAATATTGTTCTTTCTCATTGGATTTCAATTATCACGAACGTCCCCGTTGTTGGGGCGCCTGTTTCATGATTGAATATCTCGCTTTCGTCATTTTGCGCCTTGTGTGGTGTGATGTTCTGTCTGCATACTCGGATGCATCCGGACTCGAACTAACTCTATGCTTTTTTGCCTCTCTTCCGAACCTCCCCCGTCGTCTACACTCATCTATGCATTTTCACTTTGAATGTTGTGAGGCGTCACAGAAAACAAAATACAACACACGGGCCTCTTTATACATTTGATGGCCCGTCTGGCCCTCCGCACTGTGTGCTTTGTGATTCCGACATTGAATGCTGTCAATTCTTTGGCCCGGCAAAACTCCCCCTCTGCACGAGCATTCATACATTCGGTTCCTATGCATTACCCAATACAATAAAAAATTAGAATGTGCTGCGAGGGAAAACCCAAAAGACAACGCCAATGGCTGCTCGAATGTGACGAGATTTGAATTAAGGTGGCGGGGCTGAAAATACAATTGCATGATTGGACAAAATTGGATGTGGTGACGGAAGGAAAAATCACAAGACGGGCTAAGGTCTTTGCTATAGAGGACTTGAGTTAGTCTGTCGCACACTCAAGGCTAGCGAACGAAGTGGGCGCTCGAACTCCGAAACTGCTTGTTGGAGGCAGCACCTGCATTTGTACTCGAGTAGACCGGTCTCTACCTTCAACTTGTTTCAAGGCGACTATGCTAACCGACTGAAGTTGTTTCATATATAGTCTCTGAGGATCCTACACAGACATATGTTGGTTTCCTGCAGATTATGCCCATTACATTTCAGTAAGGTGATCTCGTACATGTATCGAATTTGACACACAAAACAAAGGGCCGAAGGCCAGAGCTCTCCTGTCATCTCGGATGCATCTGAACTTGGCTTACTCTCGCCTAACGAAAACCTTGCAACTCTTGTACAGCTACACTTGTGGTTTTCGCGTGTTCCTCGAACATGCGTCTCCTGTGCCACATGTCGACATGAAAAGAAAATTCAGTGCGATCATCCACACTCTCTCTGTCTCTCTCTGTGTCTCTGTCTATGTCCCTGTCTCTGTCTCTGTCTCCCTCTCCATCTCTCTGTGCGCTCTTTCTATGTCTGTCAGCTCTGTCTAGATCGTGGCGAAGCGACTCACAGCCGAGACACTCCGGATGGATCAGAAATGTGGTGGATGATGGTACAATGTTTGTCTCTCTCTCTCTCTCTCTCTCCCTCTCTCTCTCTCTCAGTTTCGCAAAAGATACTTCTTGAACTGTGTCCCAAAAAACACAGGGGAAGCTTCAAACTGAAGGGTCTATACTAGTTCGACACTTCGGCCTTGCGGCGGCCGCAGGGCAGCGCGGGCGGCGGGGCCACTGTCCCTCGTGCTCGCGCGGCGCGCGCCGCTGCAGGGTGCGCAGGAAGAAGAAGAAGAAGATCTCTCTCTCTCTCTCTCTCTCTCTCTCTCTCTCTCTCTCTCTCTCTCTTTCTCTCTCTCTTTCCCCCTCTCTCTCTCTTTCTCATTCTCTCTCTCTCTCTCTCTCTTTCTCTCTCTCTCTCTCTCTCTCTCTCTCTCTCTAGA